CCAGGCTTCCCAAGCCCTCCCTGGCAGAGCAATGCTCACGGAACATGATGCTGGGGTTACAGACCAGAGTTTTTAACTTTAAGGTTCCTTCCAACCCAAACCAGTCTGTGATTCCAAGATTTCCCCAGCACTTGTCTAGAGGATCTCCCATGCAGGGTTAGGATGTGATCTCCAAGGCAAAACAAGACCAACCATGGATTCACAGCAATATTGGGCTCAGCTATGTAAGTATGCTCATCATAGCAGGCCAAGAAGTTGCTATTGGAGCAGCTTCCCAAGAGAAACTCAGTGCCTGCAGATGAAAACTTCCAGAGGAAAAGATCCATTTGCTACAGCTTTTTAGATGAAAAACGTAGCAAGTTATTTGATTTTAAGTCAATTCAGTCTGAATATGTTGGGTTTGAATCAAAACCTTCTAACAACGCAATAAACCACTGATCTGCAGTTTCCTACCAGTAGGATATTTCCGGAGCGGGGAAGGGTGTGAATACAGCCCTGGACCACATTCACATATCTGCACTGTGGGGCTACTGATTCCCACCACAGTAGATGTTTTCTCTGACAGGTTTTACCATGTCATGACAGAATGTGTCCATGTCCTGCAGGAAATGGCATTTGGGCAGGAGGGAAATGGGGTCCAGTTCCCACATCCAAATTCTGTAGGGTGCAGAAACGTGGGTCATACTGAACCAGCGCAGAGCTTCCACAGGCCGAATCTGTTCAACTGACTTTGAACTGTTTCATCTGGAATTAAAACACTGAAACGAAACATATGCTGGACCAGGTTTGCATGCACTGATAGTACTTCACATACCAGTTGGCAAGTAGAAAATGAGACATGCTCCAGGTATACACAGCATTCCTTACATCAAAAGCTACCACCTTCCCTCCCAAATCCTGGCTTGCTTTTGCGCTGGGACTATCGCAGCTACTGCATGACCACACAAGGAGCAACAGCCCCAAGAGCAGGCAGCTCTGTAAAGAACCTTCCTCTGTTTCTGCATTCTTTCCAACACCAACCTATATTTAGCCCTTTCCCTCCAGGAGGCCACATGTCCCACCAGGACTGGGGCCACCTGCACTCAGGACCTCCAAGCACTGCAATTCACACTCTAGGGAGCTGTAAAACAAACACCCTCTGCTGTAAGCTGCACCAGGCTGTAAAGATCACTGTAAATAACAGGATGCACAGGAGCTAAGCTCTGTGGAGTGATTTATTGACAACTGATTAGGCAGGATGAGCAGCAGTGGCTTTTTTATGGCACTCCAGTTTCCCCTCAAAGCTGGAATTCTCTTTCTTGTTTAAAATCAATTGAGCTTCTCACAGACATTGAAATATACTTTTCTTTTGGATCACGCCAGATCCAAAGGCAAAAACACAACCTTATGGGTTAGAACATTACCCACAAACCTTCCAGATGAGAAGGAGCAGGAGGAAACAGCTTGAGGCCTCAGCAAAGAGCTCTTCCTACAGCAAACATTAGATCAGCCCAGCCCCGTGGGCTCCCTTTCAATTCTCAGCAGCACTAAACACATTACAGCTCATTGCAGATGATTTGTGGGTTAGAAACAGCAGTATGAGAGTGTCCAGCAACCTCCAGGCCCTGTCACAGCAGCACAATGCATGTGTCTGCCCAGATCACGGTAACAGAAGAGCTCAGATAGTGATGAGCACCGAACCCCCCAGACCTATCACATCCACCCTGGAGAGGACCAGCTGGCAGAGCTGATGCAGTCAAAGGTTCCTGGCAGGGTGAAGCACTGCTGGCAAGCCCAGGGATGAAGCAGTGGCTGCAAAGAGCAGGAAAGGAGCAGATCAGGATGGGGAGAGACCCACAGGGTGCTGTGGGACAAAAAAAAGCTGTGTCCACACAAGCATTCTTTCCTTCTGCATTCTTACACAAAGCTCTCCAGCTGTCACAAGCAGTGGCCAGGGTGGCAGTGGGACAGCCACATCTGCCAGCAGCACTCAGCCACAGGGTGCTGCTGCACCACATCACTGGGACCCCGAGGGTGCCACGAGTGTGCCAGCACCAGCACCCTGCCAGGGTGTCCTGCTGAGCCCCCTCCCAGCACCATGACCCCTGACAGCCTGAGTGCATCCCCAAAGCAGAGCCAGCCCCTCTCCACGGGAAGTCATCCTTGCAGAGGGAAACTGTCCCGGTCCCACAGTCGGGAAGGAGGCTGAGCCTTGCACCACAGCAAGACAAGATCCCACAGTACCCCATGGACATCATATCCAACAAACAACGGGGAGAGCCACTCTGGGTTGGCCCAGAGACCCCACATGCCACTGCAGCAGTGCTTCACTGGACCCAGATCCCAGCTTTCATTTGACAGCAGGCCATGCCTCGAACCCACCCACTGCAAAAGTAACCTGAACACCACAAACTGATGCTCACACCAGCCCCTGCAACCCCACTGTGTGCAGCCAGCCTGCAAGAATGCCTTTGAGGGGGACTACCCTCTCCCTCCCAGAGGCCACCAAGACTTGAAAACTCCTGGTGACACCCCCACGCATACGCAACCCTATAACTAAAGCTTTGCTCCTGAAAAGTGAGTGAGAAGAAGAAAAGAGAGATGACCTGAATGTGACTCTCTTCTTAGCTTTCCTGCAGGAAAAGGATGCTCAGACGCTCCCAGGCTGGCTCTCACAACAGCATCCCCTCAGTTAAGAGCCCCCATTTGCCTGAGTACAGTTCATTGAGACACACAACCTCAACGCAGCACAAGTGAGAGATTTCTGCTCTTATACTTCACCAGCCCTGTCCTTGCAGCCTGGTCCCCATGTGGCTCCCAGCACCACAGGTCACTGTTCCCAGAAGAGCAGCCGTGGGGAAGTCAGGAGGGAACCATCCTTCCCCAGCTCACTGCTGACTCACAGGCACAGCCCCGCTGCACCTCAGCTTCCCCTCTGAGCCAGAATTACCCATTGCTGGAAAGTCTGATGAGATCTACAGCTAGAACTGCTTCATTAGCCCCTGAAGCATGAAGACAGGTCTTTCTATCTGTGCTATGTACACACACAAGCCACCTTCTCCCTTCCTTGCAGCAAAGGAAGCCAAACCACACAGCTGGAGAATCACCTCCTCACACCAGCCTGATCTCAGTGCAGATTGGCAGCCTCAGAGCAGCCTGCTGGGGTATGGCAGGGAAGGGGTGGCACAGGGGATGTCCTGCACAGCAAGGTGCTGGTTTTGAGCCAGAGGATGCCCCAGTGTCACCTGAAAGCCCGGGACTAGCGCAGGGTGTGAGTGGCCACTCCAGGGTACAGGAATGCAGCAAACCTGCTGGTCACTGCAGGTCTGGAAACTCCTGCTCCACTTACAACCTGCTCCAGAATACCTCCAGGATGAACTGGAGAATCCCATAAGTGTGGCCAGTTCAGACCTACTGACCTCTGGGAAGAGCATTTATGAAGGAAAGCAAATGTTTCACATTTTCTATACAATTATTACACTCCAACTGCAGTGGATGTCATTGATCAGAGAATCACAGAATCCCAGTCTGGTTTGTGTTGGAAGGGACCTTAAAGCTCATCCAGTTCCAACCCCTGCC